GCCCCACCACTCCGTCGACCCGGTCCTGGCCGCCGCCGCCGCCGTTATCAGCCTGCAGGGGATCGTCTCTCGAGAGGCAAACCCTTTGGATTCGCAGGTTTTGAAACCACCTCCTCTCATCAGTTTCTTCGGAAATATAATATTGTTGGTAATTATTTTGCTGCCAATGAGTTTTCTTTAGGGAATAATTGATTAATTAATTGCGTCTTAATTAGGTTGTCTCTGTAACTTCGTTCAATGGAGGCAATAATCTGGATACGATACCGGATACCGTGGTTATTGGCGGTACCTTCAGGGCTTTCTCCAATTCAAGCTTCTACCAAGTTCTTCGCAGAATACAGGAGGTAATTAAGCAATTAATTAGGATTTATTTTAAGAAGTCATAAAAAAAAACTCGACTTTAATTCTAAAGTAAATTTTGATTGTACCGTATAGGTTATCGTGGAGCAGGCGAGCGTTTACAGATGCTCGGGCACAGTGGACTTCTTTGAAAAGGAATACACCATATACCCTCCAACTGTAAACGACGAAAAGATGTACGAGCATGTGAAAAAGGTGGCCATTGATTTGTTGGGTTCGCACAATTTCAAGGTGGTGCCGCCAATGATGGGGGCCGAGGACTTCTCCTTCTACACAGAGTTTGTTCCCGCAGCCTTTTTCTACATAGGAGTCAGAAACGAGACTCTAGGATCCATCCACACCGGCCACTCCCCCTACTTCATGATCGACGAAGATGTTCTACCGATCGGTGCTGCTACTCACGCAACCATTGCTGAGAGGTACCTATACGAGCATGGCGAATGAGAAGCTTGAAAATTCAAGCAATGGCTATGCTTTGCGTGTTGATATGTTGTGTTTCCGAAGAAAGACATGGATTCCCATGGCAAGTTTTGGGTGTACCAAGGGCCGATTGTGTTGTGAAGGGAAAGCTGATCATGCCCTCATCCTATTGTATATGATTAGACGATTTGGAGCGTCGTTGCTACAACTACACGGTATATTTTCCAATTATTTTTAAGTGTATTTTGTTTCGGTTGATGGTGTAACCATTGTAACCATCAACTTAAATTGTCCAAAACCAATGGTAGTGATAGTGATGATCGTGATTAAAGTGAATTTCTAAGTGAAACCACTGGAGAAGCACGAATGAAAGTACCTAGGTGTTCTATAATATTCATAGAACTTTCGATTTCAAATTATTTAACAAAACACTAGGTTGAAAAATATTATTACCACTTTTTACCCTTTCAAAACAGTAATCTCAATCTAACTTTTGATCTGAGTTTACCTCTAAAATAATCCTGAAGCACACATTCAGTTTACTCAGGTGGTATCAACTGTGACTGCGGCCTCTAAAACTAAGGGTGTGTTTGAAAGTAATGGAAGAATTAGTAATTTTAAAAAGAGAGATTTAAGTATAATTGGTTTTTCAAAATCACTCTCCAAGTAATATCTTAAAATTAATTTAAAGTGATTTTAAACTTTACTAAAATCAATTTTTTAATTTACTAAACATGACAATGGAAAGGGAATTTTAATTTAAAGTGATTTTAAAGTGATTTTAAACTTTACTAAAATCAATTTTTTAATTTGCTAAACATGACAATGGGAAGGGAATTTTAATTTAAAGTGATTTTAAACTTTACTAAAATCAATTTTTTAATTTGCTAAACATGACAATGGAGAGGGACAAAAGTCCAAAATCAATCCCAAACACACCCTATCCTAAATATATGGTGCAAATCGAGCATTGGATTAAATAATGAGACAGAATCTAAGATTACTACAAATTTTATACCTCATAAAAGAGAACTCTCATTGGAAGTTTGACGACCGACCTAAAATTATCTAGCACAGCACAGTTAAAACAAAGTCTCACCTCTTCTCACCACACAAACATCTAGCTGCCTGTAGAGCAAAATATGTGAGGATTATGTCTGCTCCTGCCCGTCGGAGACACATCAGAGACTCCATCATCACCTTCTCTTCATCGATCATTTTGAGAACCCCTCCAGCCTTGATCATCGAGTACTCGCCCGAAACCTGACCGAAATAGTAAAATCATTCGACATGATTGCATATTCTAATCACTTGTCATATGAACTAACTCAAGAGCAGTGCATTTGAATATAACAAAATTTGTGTCTAATAATTCTACTAAACACAGACAAAAGTTTGTTTTTTAAACCTCATTTTCAAACAATCCCTCAAGGCCTATAAATACATAGATGCGCATATTGCATTCATTCAAGTTTTATTTGCGTCCATTTTCTTTAATACCATCCTTGTTAGTTATCAGATATCAAGCATGCAATTATGATACAAGTGTCTAGAAATCGTAGAAGTGGGATCATTTACATGACCGCTGCTTTCCACCTCTTTAAATAACAATTTTGTTTTTACTTCTCTGATTTTAAAAATTACGCTGCTGCGTCCCAATTTCTTTAGGATGTTTTCACCTCTTAAAAACAAATTTAAATTCTTAATCAAATTTCAAAAACAAAAACAAATTTTTTAAACTACTTTTCTTATTTTGGCTTAAGTCTTGAAAACGTTTTTAAAAAGTAGATAATAAAACGAAGAAGTGAAAGCTGTAATTTTAAACTTCATTTTCAAAAATAGAAAACCAAAACAGAGTGGTTATAAAATATAAATTATTACTTCATTTAGATCATAGCGGCATTTAGTCAACCACATCAGGCGGAAGACGCTTATTGATGTGTGCTAAATATATCCTTTTATATTTCCTAGCAGCATTCTAAGCTAATCATCATGCGTGGCCAAGGAGAATTATGTGATATTTCAAGTGTCCAAACCCGATTAAAATTATCATTCTCCAAAATAAGACTCGAGTCATGCAATCTTATGTGATATTAATGCCTCATATTGTAGAACATGGGGGTGTGTATAGGACATGAAAATAGGTAAAGCAAAGATAATAATTAACATAAAACAAAATAGTCAATAATACCTGATATGCTGCAATAGGTAAAGGAGAATTATTCCTGAGAAGCCTTATGATATCCAGATAAGGGAGACCAGGTTTCACCTGTTAAGCGATTAGTAATAGCTTTACGTTAGCGACATTGGAGTTCACCACCAAGTATATTATTTCAAAGGATCCAAAAAAGACAACTGACCAGAAGAATATCAGCTCCTTCATCTTCATCTTCACGGGTTTCGATCAAAGCCTCTCTATAATTTGCTGGATTCATCTGGTAACTTTTGTTAAGCAAGCCAGATTAGTTTGGTATGTGAGAACCTAGAGCAAGTAAAATCTCAGTTCATAATAATATAATATACTACATACGTCTTTTTGTCGCCAAAACGAGGATTTGAATCCAGTGCTTCACGAAATGGACCATAAAACGAACTTGCATACCTGTTTAAAATCCCCAAATGAAGGTAAGCACAAAAAAGTAAAACATCGTTTGTGTAAAAAATTAAAGTAACTGGACCATTCATGTAAAAAAAAAAGGAGGGAATTAAAAGTTTTATTCATTCCAATTGGCTAGACATACATAAACCAGGTTGATGTAGAGTAGAAAGAGTGAAAGAGGTGCCCCATGCTACACACCTTCTAAGTGATAAAGGAGTGGAAAATAAATTCAGCAATATTCAAGAAAGATTTGATCCACATGGAAAGGAAATACATCATCAGGTATCTTATTGAGACATTAGCTTAGCTGCAGGATTCTTTAAGTAACCGACTCGAATGGGGAATATATAGCTCATTACAAATTAACAAAAGATTTCCAAATTCCTTAAACATATTAGAGGCAAAAGTTGATTGAGACATCTAATAATTCTTCTATCTAGGCTAGCTACAAGATCTAATGAACTAATAACTTTGTAAAGCATCAGGATTAAACATCATTTTGCTTTTATTTTGACAGGCGGCAGCTGGCAGCATTCATATTCTAATCAAATTTTAGAAGTAGAGCAAAGCTTTAAATGTACTTATTCATGTGGCTAACAAAAACGGGAGAAAATGGTGAAATGGAAAATAGGAAATTACTTTGCCGTGTAAGACATGATGGAGACGTGATGAAAGCCCTCAGCATCAAGAGCCCTTCTAATTGCTCCGACCCTACCATCCATCATGTCACTTGGACTGACAACATCTGCTCCAGCACGGGCCTAGTGATCAAAGAAATTAAGACAGAAAGCAAACTATAAATATCTGTTCAAAAGACACCAGGAGACATATACAAAACGGGGAGATATAAGGTAAAATAGTGAACAAGTGCTCATATATAATATCCCATTAAACAAAGGCAATAAATGTTGAAAGATAGCTGTGAAAATTTGCGTAACCTTAGTACTTTGTAATTCATAAATGGGCCATGAATTTGTMATGTTCGAGGGTTGAGTTTACAAAGAGAACGATCTCATAAAATTACCTGGGAAACAGCTTGTTTGCATAATTGATGAACAGTCTCATCATTCATTATAACTCCTACAAAATATGAAACCAACTTTGTGACCATATATACCTATATTGAACTAAAATAAATTATTCTAGGAAGACATTCGATTGTAAGGTCAATGCCCATAAAATTTTAACAAATTGACTTTGAAAGGATGAGTCTCAGTAACGGCCTCTGCTGCCAAGCAGATATTTTGCCCTTGAAAATTACAATAGTTGTTCTTACGTTACACATTAGAAAATAGAGCTTATTTTGAGGGAATTTCAGTCAAAAACAGTCCATATAGATACCGTTACGAAGCAGTTCACAGTCATAAACTACTCTTTGTCAAGCAAATGGGCACGTTTGCTCGCACATGTGATTCTTTTTACATTCAAAATTTCTTCTGCGTCAAGATGAGATTTGGAGCAAACCTTTGCATAGGGATGGATGCAGTACTGGTACATAGTTTCTACTTGCAAATATTTAATCAGCAAACAGAATCTAGACTTAACCCATTAAAGACCCATGCATTTGATAGATATTCAGATTGTGTATGYGAAGGCAAACGTTCTAATATTATAAAAGTTTTTGGTTTCAACTAAAATTTCTCAATTATTAATGAAATATTCCCGTAAAATTTCTACACAATGCTTCAACGATTATTCTAGCATCATTTAAATAAAGGTATATCACTCTTACCATCCTCTCTAACTATACCATCGTGGCCATCAGAAGAGTATGGATCCAAAGCAACATCAGTGTAGATGACCTGAACAAATATGGGTTGTACAATATATAATTGCAATGTTTCTGCACATGAGACCACAATACTCCCATAACTTAAATCAATATCCAAATAGAATACAGTTCACTTACAAGATCAGGGTATTTGTCCTTGAGCAACCGAATTGTTCGAGGCACTAAACCATTATCATTGTATGCCTCGTCCCCTGTTGGAGACTGAAGCAAAACTGATTATATTATGCAACTAAGAAACCAAAAAAAAAAAAAAGGAATGGTATAAGAATGAGGAGTAAAAACCTTCAATGCATCTGGAACTTTAGGGAATAGCACAACAGAATTGACACCGACATCCCGAGCCTTTGAAACCTGCCTCAAACAAGATTATCTTCTTAACTGATACACATGCATGTTCATCTTTAACTTGAACTATCTCTTTCTGTCGTTTAAAGGAATGACTTTGCATAAACAACTTTCTACAAGAAAGATTCGTCCAAATATTTTTGCCCTTGAGCACCAAAAGACAGTTTTTCAATTTTCTTTCAAGTATTGCTCAGAGCCTCGGACTAAGTAAATTCCTTTTAAATCGATGCTGCAATATAAAATCAAGGTCAATTTATTAAACATGTACATCTCAAAATTCAAGAAAGAAAAGCTTTCTGTGGTCCAAGGGCTGACAAAGCAACATGAAAAAATGCCGTCCTTTCCTTTATTCCATATTTGAATCGAATACTGCAAGGAATTTTCCATGGAACCAAAAACTACAATTCCACAAGAGCATTTTTTAAATTCAAAAATTCAAAGGCTCGAGGAACATACTTTGACTGCCTTTGCATGCAACAAAACGCAAGTGCCATATTAAAAGCATATTCTGTTGCTGGATTTAATCACCAAAACTATCCAAACAACCGGGGACTAAAAAAACGCAGCAGACCACCAAGGAACATACAAAGGTGAAATTTTGAGCAAGGCAACAACCTCATTTGTGATTAGTGATTGCTGAAAAGTAGAGCCCATGTAGCTAAGTTACCTCTTCCAAAAGCCCATGTCTCCACCCAAGCCTATAGCATCCAGGCATAGCTCCAATCGGTGTATCCTCCTCACCTGCAAATTTCCTAATGTTTAGGCCTACCTTGCCTACAAACTACACAAGGCCATGCACACAGCGCCACACCAAAACAGAGTAATACAAATAATAAAAGAAAAAACGGATTATGATTGCATAGTGCGTACCTTCATGAATGAACAAAGGATATACAAAATTTGAAGGTGATAGGCTGGTTTCCTGAAATGATGCTCTGAGTGCGGGTGACCTCCGGTTACGTCGAGGACGACGGCTGAGAGGCTGATAGAAAATTTGTTGTAAGTGAGGAGAAGGGAGCACTCATTTTTAATGTTAAACAGTTCGTGAATGTAGAAAATTAGTAATACAGCATAATGCTTAATAGTTCTTTCAGTGGAATTTGTTATTTGAACTCTCGAATGCATAATCACGATTCAGGTGCACAGATAACATTATCTCTAAAACTAAGGACGTCTACTTATAATTTCATATGTCGATTCATAGTATGAAAAAGTTTATGTGAAAATCCAGTTATATCATCAACACTAACCAGCAAAGGAGCTACAGGAGTTCCAGCAGGCGCTGCTGGTTTCGGCGGCACAGGAGGTGCTTCTGGAACGTTGCCTGCCACAACAGCAGCTTCACACTCTGCATCACTCCGTCCGAGCTTCTTCATATGTGCATCGCGCTCGTCGCTAGCTCTCACAACGAAAAGACGCGGAGAACGCACATTGGCCGGGGTCCGGACGCAGAGGAAATTTGAATTTGGCGAAGGTTTTAGCCCAACATAGGAGCCGCAATCCAGACCGTTAATTGTTCGAACACAATTAGGCGCATTAAGAACTGTTGAAGCCATAAATTAATTCCAAACACGAGAACTGCAACACCTGCACATCCACGCAGAACAATCACTACAACGAAATAAGCTAGAATAATAACACGATGAGATCGCGCAACGAATTAAAGAAGATGAAGAATACAGCGTAAGTTTCCAAATTACAGAATAGATCACAGCAACCACGAAACGTAAGCTAGAATTCAGAAATAAAATCAACTAAAACGAAAATTCTCAGAATTAAAAACTGAAAACAGAATATCAACAACAACCGGCAAACAGAAGCAATGCGAGCACAGAGCAGAATTAGGACGATGAGGACCGAAACGGCAGATACGGAAGAGAGCTCGAAATGAGTTCGAAGTAGAGATCATAAATACGAAAAGAAGACGAACCTGATATTGGATCGTAATCAAGAAAAAAGTAGAGAGAATCGGAAAGGAGAGGATAGGAAAACTCACCGGCGGAAGAGTTCAGAGAGAGAGAGAGACGGAGGCGGTGTTCCCGGAGACCTTATCGGATGAGTATTTGGTTAGGTGTACTGAGCAGCCAATCAGGATTCGGGAGACGCTGTTATGGACGAGATGGCGATTTTTGACGGAGACTCAGCCAACATAGAGAGAGATAGAACTTGTTTGCTAAGACTTTGACAAATTGACCGTGAAATTCCATACAAAAGGCCACATAAAATTAAATTATCTGTTGTCCTCCAAAAAAAAAAAATAATTAAATTCTTTCTAAAATATTTATATTTATTATAGTCTATGAAATTTTAAAGGGACTATTTTAGTTAATTTTGCACAAAAATTTTAACATAAATTCTCTAGTCAGCAACGAAATCTTAATCTTTAATATTGAATTATGGCTACATTTCAATAAATTTGCCGATTAAAATTATGATTGAAAAAATGAGATAAAAAAAATGAAGGGATTAAAGAGAGAATTTAAAAAGTTTAAGTATTGGAATTGTCAATATTTATTTATTTATTTCTAAACTATTGAAGTGGTTGCAATAGACTTGCAAAGTTTTGTTTATAAAAATTGAACCATCAAGTTTACTTAATTGAAAATATTATACCATCTCGTTCTCTTCAATTAAAAAAATCTATCAATTATAATCTATTAAACAATGAATTTCTTATCAGGTTAATGACATAATCTAATTTACTCATTTAGTTRTACTTCAGTGTCTAATTTTTAGAACTATAAATTTATAGGTTCAATTCTAACCATTAACTATATGTTAATTTTAGGAGATAAAGAAAAAATAGATAAAATAACAAATATGATTAATACTTTAATACAAACCTAATAACTTATTTATACTGTAATTTATGATCATATTAGAAAATTCAATTCAAATAATATAATCTAATTCAAATCTAATTATAATTCAAATAATATTATCTAATATTTTACCCTTGTAACTTGTGAAATTTATCTTAAAAAAGTATAAATATATTTATTTTAAAAAATAATTACAAAGATCGCATTTTTTTTCAAAGGAATATCACATTTATTTACACTGCCAGCAAAACTTCCATGAATATTTTCATTTAAAAAAATTACAAATATTTCACACAAAACAACTCCCAACTTCATAGCCATGCTTGTTATAAACTCAAGCTATTAGAAGTATGAGTCAATACTTCCTAATTGTTTTTATTTGAAAACAGTATTGAAAAATATCAACCATAAAATGGCTCTACAGTTTTTTTTTTCTTTCTAAATTTATAATTCAAATAACGTGTGAAGATTTAAAATTTGATCTATCAATTTTTAGGGAAAAAGAAAAGAATTCGATAATCAATGGAGCTGTCTTTAGCCAAATGTACTAATATTGTAAGTACTTAGCCTAAAGTTGTAAGGATCGAAGTTATATTTATTTCATAAATTTTATCTGCAAAATATTTATTTATAAGGAAAAGAGAGAGAGAGAAAAAAAAAGACTGTGGGATCAATATGGATCAGTTCCGTTGGGCCACACAGACAATAAGACTGGGCCAATTGTCTCTTCATTGAACTTTGGCCCAATATTGTTTATTTATTATTCTTTTTTTTAGTACAATTTATGTACAAATTAAAGTTTATCAATGGCTCTAAACTAATAATAAAGTACAAAATAGCTTTCTCTTTCACTTAAACTAAACAAGATATACATTTTTGTATATTAATTACTTTATTTCTCAAAATAGTTAAAATAGAAAAATAATCCAAACTTCATCACTAAACCTATTCCTTTTCTTCAATTTCGAAAGTGAAATAGAGATAAATGTAAAATTATTTTGCAATATCGAAAATAAAAATGTATCTCGATCATGTATAATTGTCATTTTTGTTCACATAATTAAYCATGTTATAACGTTGATTGTTCCAAGCCCCATGAAATCAAATGTAGCATATTTAACAACTTTGATTTTTGGTTAAACCTAATCCATTACCAAAATAATCCAATTGAAAGTAAAAACTTGGGATTGCAATATAAACAAGCACATCATATATATTTTATATAATATAGCCACATAATTAAATACATTCATTTCATGTCAAGTATGATACTAAATTACAGTTTGGATTTTTTTTTAATTATCAACAAAAACCAAAATTCTGCCTAAAAATAAGGAAAATAAACAAACTCTTAACTTTTGGAAAAAGAGATAGTCTTTTGTATTTTAGAGAAAACTAAACTATAAGAAAGATTTGTCAATATCTATTAAAAAAAGATTCTATGGTAAAGAAACGCATAATTGATTTGATGATTATGTCTCTCTCGAAAATATTTTTGAGTTAAAAAAAAGTGGAGTTGAGATTTAAACCTCACATGCACTGAAAAATGTCAAAATGGTCATTTTAATAGAATGCTTAATCCATTATAAACAGCAAACTAAATAGTAAATAGTGAAATGAGTATTCCTATTTTTTCTTTTAAACATAATCTAAATTCCTACATTGATTACGAAATTTTATCAATCTATTTAAAAATAATTAAACAACTAAGATTGATTTTTTATTTTTTATTTTTTTATATTTTATAACCGGACAGAGATAAACAAGATTTAGGTTAATTTATGGTTTAAATTTAATAAAATTGAAATTCGAAGTTCAATTATATTCTCTCTCTTTTTTTTTTACATAGTTTTGTCCCAACATTTAACTTAATAATCCTAATTAATGTCCCATCAATAGTAAAGGTTAAGAAAATGGATTTGTTAGTACTAAATTTTGAATCATCTTGAGAACACATACAACGTAAATGAAATTGAGCTATTAAAAACGAGTGAGGTAGAGAAAGATCTGAACAAGAGAATAAATGTTCAAGTCTGTCGTGAGGAATCACATAAACATACCTACCTACGTAGGGGAGTGAGTGCCTACTTATTGGTGGAAGACAGTGGGTCGCACGACTCCAGTCTGTTAAAATTGTTTCAGAAATCAGTTGCATGGCTGCATGAAATACCTCGACGTTGGCCTTCTAAAGGTCATCAATGGCCATTCAAACTATTTAAAATTACTATAGTCGAGTTTCATAGCTCGGCGACTGGATATTTTTTTTAGATTATTTGAAAAAATGTCATATGAGATTATCTGTATTCTACCGTCCAATCAAATATATATAGATATGTATATATAGATATAAATTAAAATAACATTACTTGACCTTAAAATGAGGAAAAAAAATGAAACTTCAATTATAAGAAATTGACCAATAAATGATGATTTGTATTCAGACCCACCGGAGAAGATGCAGCTCCGGCAAGGCCGGAACCGCCGGTCATCGCCGGCCACCGGCTCCATCCACAAAGTTGAAACAAACGGCCGGACAATTGCATCTCAAATTGTGGTCCTCGAATGATTAAAGATACTCACAGTTTCTAGACAAACTGATATCTAAAAATAATTGATCATGCTATATTTGCGGGGATATTGAATTTATATATTAAATGTTAAATTATAACCAGAAATTTCACTCCATTACATAAAATTAATATCTATTTTCAAATACAACTTTTTATTTCTTTTATTAGTACAGGATTTGAACGCTCATCACCTCTTAACTAGAGACAATAGACATGTGACAATAATTGTTGAATAAGTTCATGTTGACATTTTCTTTTAGGTGTGTTTTACCTTACATATATATTATTTTAGTAGAATTTCGAACTTTATGTTATATTTTAAATAAAATAATATTTACACGTGGATCATCATTAATTTTGATGGGTATTGCTTAATTAAGAGAGAGAAATGCATAAAGACATATTTCTTTTAATGATTTTTTTAAATAGAAGATCTGTCAAATTTTTAGTGGTAGTCAGCAGAAGATAGTTAGATACGTAAAATATGTGATATATTCGAAAATACATATATATATTATGTTATTTATAACGTAAACGTCTCCCTTATAAATTTGTTTCACGAACTATTAAGAGTTTATTTAGTCAATAATTTTATAGGTTGTGTCTAATTCGATCCCTTATATTTTAAAACTTTTGTAATAAGTCGTTGAACATTGAATTTTGTCTAATCGATCCCTTCTATTAACATATTTAGTTTAGCCATCTATGTAATTTGTTGACAGTGTTTTTTAAGATTATGCCGTAAGATGACTCTTAGAAAATCTAAGTCATTTAATGCTATAAGCATTAAATTAATTTTCACGAGCCTATTAAAAAAAGGTTGAAGCATAGAAATCAAATATCCACAACTTCAAAGATTTATGAATCCAATATATAATTTAAGCTAGAAAAGATGATTTCAAACATGGTAATCCACATCAACTAAAATTATCTCTGKATGAAAGACAATGTCAAATATTTGTTCTTGTGATTGTGACTCCCGACTAGAGAGAAGAGATACATGAATGAACCAATACCACATCCGAATAAAGAGGATCATGAGATCATTGAAGAATAGTCTAGAAAGGCTTAAAAGAATTGATAGTCACTACCAATACTAACAAGGTGCACCTTTCTTTTCGRCGGCTCAATCTAATAACTCGAAAGTTAAGCAAATGACTTGTGTTGGTGTGTAGGTATAGTCTAAAAAAATCAACAAAATATAAAAAAAAATCTATGTAACATCACTAATATAGATACAATTTTAATATTAATAATTTTCAACTTATTATAAAAATATGAAAAGGCTTATTTGTTAGTTTAAATATTTGTTACCAATGAATGATTTTTCGAGAAATATCTATCAACATTGACATTCTATCTATATTTTCATCGACATTTCCATAAAGTTGAAATATCGATATTTTAAACATGACAATTTCAGCGACGTATCTAAAGAAAAAGATCTTTGAGTTGGTAAAAAAAAAAGTTTTAAAGTATAATACTATATTTTTATTCTTTATAAGACAAATAACATTAATTATGCAAAAAGTCTTATCTGTGGGCTACCAAACGTGGAAATAAAAGGACCCCACAAGATTAAGATTCATCATCGATTATAGAAGACAAAGTGATGGCCTCTTTTTAATGTTTGTCAACCGTGAAATCTTGTATGATCATGCCTAATTTTCCCTTTTTTTAGGAAAAAATAATAATTATTTTTAATTTATTTTCATAATTTCTAAAAGTGCCAAAGAATTAATATTTGATTTGATTTAAAGTGAGTCGTCTCCTTGCACGGATTTCATACTTTGGCTTTGGCTTTGGCTTTGGCTTTGCCCCTTTTCCTCTTTTCTTTTTCTTAACCACAACTCTTTGCCAATTGATTAATGTGACTTTTGCCATTTTTTTCAAACACCTCTTTTTGCCATGCTTTTAAGTAAGAGAATTAGGGGTTTTTTCTTTTTGCCCTTTTCTTACTCACTACTATTACGAAAAAAAAAAAGATCTTACATATGAAAAATAAAAGATATTGTTATTTACACCTTAGTAGATTTGATATTGTGTGTAATCTAACGCCGACGGTCAAATTTATGTTGAAATGACTACCTACTAATATAGTTAATTTCATTTCATTTAATTGACCAACGATAAGAAATTGAGGGAGCAACTTGAGTATAACTTAATTCGTTAGGACACCTATCTCTGACTCGTGAGTTCAATTTCTCACTCCACATGTTGTACTAAAAAATAATAATAATAACAAATTGAGGGTAAAAAGTTCATTGCAGTTCAAGAATAGAAATATTGATAATTTTATACATGGTGGGAGAGAGCATTTCTCTTTAAGAAAGTTTGTAATGGGTAGTTTTTTTATTTATTATTGGATTTTGAAAATATGATATTTTAAACTATGATTTAAGAGTATGATATATTTTAATCAATAAAATCGCTCACTTACTCATATATTTTAGCCAATTAATGATTTATTACCGCACGCATCGAGTGATATTTATATTTCTATTATTTTTACAGTTTCTTAGTTTTTTTACTGCAACAAAGATTTTACCTGACTTCGTAAATTTTTTAATTCAACAATTATAAAAGAGTAGAATGAACCATCCACGTATGGTATACTATCGTTAAATTTTACATTTTTATAAAATTATTCGGCAAAAACGACGTGGTTCTTATCTTTTAACAATACAGTTGACCAAGAAAAGGGAGCTTTTTGGGGCCACCAAATGTTAAATGTTAGGAATGGTGAAGGCTCGAAGATATGGTGGGCCCCAAAGAGTAGATGGAGTGAAATCTTGAATATGATTCTTGGATGACCTTATTAGGAAAAGATTGGTCAATAAGATCCTGATTTTATTGTACAAACGGGTCCCCTTTCTTTTTCCTTAATTATCAACACCTTAAAATAATAATAATAATAATAATAATAATAAATAACCGACTTCCTTAAGGCAATTTTTTCTATTCTTTTAAATATTTTGAGATCATCAAGTTGGATTTGCTTGTGTATATTAATGTATAGTTTGATATCACCATAAGAATTTACTAATATAGTAGCGATCATCTTAAATGAATTTGACAATAAAATTTGTTTCCTACGTCATAGGTATTTATTTATATTTAAGAAATATTTACTTTTTAAGATCACTATCTTTTTTTAGTACACTTTTTAAGATCGGTATCACATGCACATGTTGTTTCAGTATATCAATATAAATATAACTCAACTGGTTAAAATATGTATCATCAACCAAAAGGTCGAAAGTTTGAATCTCTACTCCCATATGCTTGAACTAAAAGAAAAATAATAGTTTTGATATTGATCCTTATACATATAGTTTTACCAACTTCTATCTATATTCACTTATTCTCCCTAATCTTTTTTATATATATATATGTATATATAGACTTGATTTTGAGGGTTTCATGGGTTAATAGTTAGTTTAGAGAAGATATTCTTGGCTTAAATTATAAGTTTAATACATGAACTTTATAAAGTATTTGTTGGAGGATAAAAACAACTTTGTCACGTGAAGAGCAACGAAAGCTCAGAAGATGAGGCCTTTTAGAGAAATTTGGAGAGGCCGACCTTCGGTAACAGGCTTCTCGATTGCTTAAACTGCCCATTAGACGCCTTGTCAAATGCTCACCCTATAAATAGATAGCCTTATTCAAACACAGGTAGGTATCACATTCTAATTCGATCTTACTTTTAAAACCAAACTCTTCTTACTTGAGTGTGTCTGCTTCCCTTGTACAGGTCTTTCTAAATAAGTGAGACTCAAGCTTAGTCAATACTAGACCACACTTAATTTTGATCTAGACCAAAAATATGCACCAAACAAATTCTTAAACTTGCAATTTTGTATCTAATAAGTATAGTTGTAAAAAGTTTAAAAAAGATATATAAACTTTCAATTTATATGTAATACGTGTTCAAGATGTTAGACATTTTTAAAAAGTCATATAGATTCATCAAAAATAAAATTGTATGTTAGAACTCAATTTTGTGACTAATAATTTTTTTAATTTTAAAAAAATGCCATATAAAGCAATGGCCTTAAATGCAAAATTAAAAATTTAGAGATTTATTAAACAAAAAATTAAATTTTTAATTCAAAAAGTTTAGAAACTAAATTTACAACATTTTACCACTTATTATTATTATAGAATAGAATTTTAATTTAGTTAAAAATTTTCTATTATTATAGAATTATTTTGTCGTTGTTTAAAAAGCAAGAAGGCTGGGTCAGGGCGTACGGAATAGAATATCGAGAAGGAAAGAGGATGATAGATCCAGCCATTGAGATCGATCCACGTCAGATAGCTAATTACTGGCTGACAGACGTATGATTGAGGAACAACACATGGGAACAGTAACACGTGGCAGACAAGAACGGGGAACCCACAATTCGGAGCGTGAGAATATTTTTTTTAACAGAATAATAATAGTAAAAGGAAAATTAAAAATTAAAAAAGAAAAGAAAAGGTCTATGGACACACGACACGACCGTCGACCCGACCCGAGGGGGAGGACGGGACTTGAGAGCTTCAGCTTCCTCCCCAAAGCAAAGAGAAATTTGTTATTATTATTTTTCAGCCGATCCGGAAAAAAAAATTTCCTTTTTCTTTTGACAGACAGACAGACGGAAGGAAAATGTGGGCCCCACTAAAGATCTTGAACAGTGGACCCACAAGAGATTTTTCATAGAAAAAATGGAAAAACCAAATTTCATTAAGGAATTGCAAGTGCAACATAGCATAGGGTAAGAGTGAGGTGGAGTGGGTCCCACCAAAATTTTACCTTTATTTATTTCATGTCTTCTCCGTCTCTGTTACCGTAGCAGATTTCTTCCACGCTCTGTCTCTGTGATTGATTTTTATATATATTTTTAAATATAAAATTACAAATGAATACAAAATTAAATAAATATACATACACATCATTCTTAAAAACTGTCCTTTTTCTTTTGCCTTTTCAGTGCTCAAAATTCTAATAATTATGTTGGGTGTACGTGAATGTGTCTGTCCAAAAACATGGCTAAATTTCCTCTTTTTTATTTCCTAAATTAAAAAGAGAAATTGGAAGAAAAATGTGCTAATGTTTTAATTTAAGAAAAAAAGAAGGATTGAAAATGGGAAAGTTAGTTGAGTTATTATGAGTTTAGTAAGATTGGGTTTGATAATTTGGAAGACCAATTGAGTCCTAAATAGTAGTAGACATTAATTGAGGCAATAACTTTTGTCAATGATTTCAATTATTTTTCATTGATAATTTAAATGGGGTCTTGCTTGTAGTTTAAGCCATCAAATCCAATAATGGGGCAAGGGCTTCCTGAGTTGGTAGGTTAATATCCATCTTTCATCAAATATTTGGCATGCCATTTAAGCAAAGCCCTTCTAGAATTTTCACAAAAAGATGTCTCTAAAGTCAACTTCAGAGATTGATATGATATGGATTTTGTTCTAGATGTCACAAACATTTTCCTGACAGAAATATTTAATTTTGAAGAAAGAAAATTAAAGCTTTTAATTTCACACCTTGTGAAGTTTATATCATAAAATTACATACCGCTCAATCAAATAAATTTATATCATAAAAAAAATTATGAGTCAGCATAACTTAACTAGTCAACCTATTACATAGCTTAAAAATTTAAGCCCCTAGATCAAAACATTATTTAAATGATAGAATTTTTTTTTAGTTTCTTTTCTTTTTGTTCCTTGTGTTTAAAATTGAGAGTAAAAAAATGAAAAAGAAACGTATACATATGCCATAGACAAAATGAACTGTATACAAGTTAAAATCAACCAGAAATTGAAATTTACCTCCAAAAATTTCTTCTATTTGACATTAAAGATAAAAATCAGTTAGGTAGGTACTGCTTTTCCCCTCACTAAATTATGCTTGTTAATTAATTTTTGTAAAATTTATACGGTCTACTTTTTTTAAGCCAAAAAAATAAAACAAAAAACAGAAGTATTAATACATGATAAGAGAGAATGAGTTCAAACTTCATGATGACCACCTATCTTAGAAAATAATAATTCCTATCTGTTTTCCGGTATCAAATGTTGTAGGGTCGGACGGTTGCCCCGTAAGATTAGTTGAGGTGCACGAGTTGGCCCGGACGCTCACGAATAAAAAAAAATATATCGTTAATAATAAAAAAGCAAGCGCCTACCAGTTAGCACTTAATATTAAAAACAAAAAAAACAAATTCCAATGTTTTTGGCTAATAAAAGTCAGTATGGTCTAAAAGAAAATAAAGATGCAATGGTGACATTGGTAATGTAGAAGGGCTCCATTGACATATATCATTCCCAGTTAGAGAGAGAGAGAGAGAGAGAAATGGTGAGAAGATAGGTAAAGGGTATCTGTTAAATTAGTTAAAATGAAATTCTCCAATAACCAAAGTTTAGAAAGAGAAGCCAACCTTGCCTAATTGCATTAATAACAAATTAGAAAAGAGCTGGGACAGCCAAGGGGAATCCAATTCGATGATAGTTTGATTAGTTAAGTACTCTGGTAATTAATAATATCAGCTGAAAGGTCTTTGAATCAAATTATCCAACTAACGCCCAAAATCAACTCTTTTCCATCATCATGATGACCGAATGGGAACAAAGATCTCGGGATTTTTCTTGGCAATCAAACAAAATCTTAGCCAAGAAAGTAAAAGGGGAAAAAAAGAAGAAACAAAAGAAAAGAGAGAGAGAGAAATGGAGAGTTGAAAGAAAGAGATAAGTGGTTGTTGTACCAATGGGGTATACAGAATCTAGAGAGAGATCTCAGCATGAGAGCAAAAAATACACACCCACACCCACACCCACACCCACACATCTACTTCTACTTCCATTAACACTATACTACCTTTGGTTTCTCTCTCTCTCCTCACCCACCTCATAAAAACCTGCAATTCTACCACACACCACCTCCAATTCCTACCCTTCTCTCTCTCTCTGCTGATGATAATGGCAAAGCCATTGTAATTCTCAAGATTGATCTGCAGAGATATAAACAAACTACATCTTGTTCCACAGCTTGGTGATTTTCTTGGGGATAATATAATGGAGTTGAAAGGAGATGTAGCAGAAGTCCAACAACAGCAACATTTCCATGTGCTGGCAGTGGATGATAGCCTTATTGACAGAAAGCTTTTGGAAAAGCTCCTAAGAATTTCTTCATGCGAAGGTATATATATATATATATATATTTATTTTTAGTTATATATCCAACTAATCATACCCAGTTTTCTTCCTAAATATTATTTCCAACACTCAACAGTGACCTGTGTGGAATCCGGGGATAAAGCTCTGAGATATCTGGGTCTGCTTGATGACTTCGACAAATTTTCTTCTTCATTTTCTCCCCCACAAGTCTCCCAACAACAGGTCATTTTCCTTCTTCTCTCCGCCCAAGATCCCCTCTCTATATTTCTCTTGATTTTCTTCAATGCATGCTAAAGATAATGGCCAAAACATGTACAAATTTCTGATTAAAGAAACACGAACACCAGTTTCAATCTTTTACTTAGGAGACTTCCACTCCACATATCCAAGTGAATTATATATCAATTATGAGATAATTTGATGAATAGACTAGAACAATGAACCAATAGAAGATTGTGATCTTCGACTGCATGAAGATGAAACCTGTACTCAGAAGGAACAGGAAAAAGAGAAAAAGAAAGAACAGGAAATAAGAATATTTCCTGCAATATTGAATTTTCTGTAATGCACAGCATTCATTAGGGGAGACTAGACAAAGACACTGCAAGTTGCATACTTTTACGTGCATCACATGTGAAGAAATTATTTAGCTACAGTCCAATTAAAATTAATAAATGAACTTTTCAACTGCATTCAATCAGCCGGGAATTGATGAAGGTTTTCTGTGGAATTAGATTTTGGATGTGTGGACCCCTGTGTCGAGCTATTTTGTGTGTGTGTTTTCAAGCCTTGTTTTATTTTTAATTTTTATTATTTAGAAGAAAAAATTATTTAGATTTTTTAATTTCCATGAAACACAGGAAGTCAAAGTCAACCTAATCATGACAGACTACTGTATGCCTGGGATGACTGGTTATGATCTACTCAAACGACTCAAGGTCAATTCCTTTACCATCCTTTCATACACACAACAATTAATGCTTTTTTCTTTCCTTCAAATTTTTGGCAATGTATAATTCTTTATTTTGGCTAACTAATTTGTAAGACCATTAAAAAAGAGAATATTATTTTCAAATAACAAAGCAAGGTATCCAAATTTACATCACAGAAAAGTATGGTATTCAAGTAACAAAGAGACTGATATTAGAATGATACTCCAAGTCAATTAAAAGAAGGTAATAATGGATAAAATTTTACCTGTATAGATGGTAGGCCAAACTTGCAAAATGCTACTCGTTCAGTTGAAACATATATAAGAGTTGCATTATTTGTATTTTTCTTTAGATGTCAATGTTGTTTAAATTATTCAAATAAAATCAAATAACCCAAATTTGAAAGGTAAGAGCAAAGCATATTTCAGATAAAAAGGGAGTTGTTCTTTCGAACGAATCATTAGTCTATCAAATAGATATTAGTGGAAGTGAGTAGCTTAAAAGCAAAAAATCACTCTCTTTTTGTTAATCTCTATATATTAGAAGAATATGATGGCTTACATTGATACGTGCGTTCGCAGGGATCTTCCTGGAAAGATGTTCCTGTTGTTGTCATGTCATCAGAGAACGAGCCTTCAAGAATCAACATGTAAGATATTCTACTCTCTCACTCTATTTCTTTTCGGTAATCACTTTTTGCTTCATAGAATAGCTTTCATTCTAATATTCAACTTAGCATTATATTAATCTAATAACCCGTTAACTTCTCAAACAAATGAAATTTACTTACAGGTGCTTGGAAGAAGGGGCAGAGGAATTCCTTTTGAAGCCTCTTCAACTATCAGATGTAAAGAAGCTTGAGCCTCACCTTCAGAAATCGCTCAGCCGTTCTTCTGCAGAAATAAAGGAAGAAACCGTCGGAATCGGAATCGAAATCGAAATCCCTGCTCCCGACGCCACTGACGACGAAAACAACTCGAAAGAAGACAGTAACAATACCTTCAGCAAGAGAAAGGCCGCGGCTCCGGAACCGTCCGAAAGAAGACCAAAACTGAAAGAGTTGCAGGCGGCGGTGTAAGCGATATAGTGCGAGGAATCCGGCCGCCATTAGCACGTAAATGGATGGCTATGGTGGTGTCGCACGCATTTCGCCGAACATCTGTGCTGCATTTTAGAGTTACTGCGGATTACAGAGAAATTTTTAAGGCGAAAAGGGGATTTTGGGGTGTAAAATGGTCCTTGTATACTGTTTACTCTAATGGCTGTTTTGGTTGAAGATGATGGATGAATCTCCCAAAATGGGATGTTTTCGAGGGGAATCAATCTAGGGTTTACAATTCAGATTAAAATATTAAATTATTAAATCAACTGCTAATCAACTGCTAATCATAAGAAAAAGCGAAGCTAGAGCGCCAGAGGAAGAATGGAAATTATAATAGAAAACGGACGTGGCATTTTAAGACGAACCGTGAGCGTTTTTCTCGTTGAAATATTGAATTCTGAGCGTTTTTAGAATAAGTATTTTTAATTCAGCAGAATCTTCGACTTTCGTGAAAGATAATTAATACTTATTTATCTTTTTTCAGAATAACAAGCTTTACCTCTAAAAATAATCTTAATTAAAACGATAAGTATAACCAACAATTAAATAGAATTTTTTAATTTAACAAGGAGGCAATGAATTGAACATATACATAAATAACAATATATCAATTTATAATTGAAGCTAAAGCGAGCACATCTCACTAATAATTGACATATATATCCAATCAAAACGTTGTGAGTTCGATCATCATCCTCTAAATGTTGTACTAAAAAATTATAATAGAAAATGTGTACCTATAGCATGAATTTAATACGTATTTTCAAAACGATCAAAACTTTTTATTATTTTTTTCCATAGCAAAAGTTACTTGTTTTTAGTATGTTTTATTGATGCATGAGTTTGGTTTCGTGTTCCCGACGAAATCTCCCACGAACACCTGCACACAAGAGAAATCTACACACCAAGCTTAGCAAAAAATTTCATCAAACGTAGCAAAAGTAAAGTTGTGAGAACATACTTCACACCAGAGGTCTCTTCTCTTATTTATGGAGGAGTCTCTTTCGATTGGTTGGGGTTTCATACCATAACATGTTTTATATTACATTGAGTTTCACTTTAGTTGAGTTATTTTGGTAAATTTTTATTTTTTCTTTTAATACAACATGAGAGATGGAGTTTTAACTTAGGCATAAAATTTTAAACTTTATGCTTTATTTGCAAATAAGAATTTATTTTATAATAATTACCTATCCATATGTAAATTGAACCATATGAAGATTGGAGTTGTGGCTGTCCTAAAACAATTGACAGTGAAAAAATATATTTTTTAAATTGAGTCTCTAATTAAGACATTTACGAAATTACCCCACGCACTTAATTTACCAACCGCTTCCAATTGGAGACATACTCCAAAAATGGTATTTTCCGTGGAAAATTAGAAAAGAGATTATGCATAGAGATAGAGAAAATCCCTCCACAGACAAACGATAAGCATAATTCAAGAATCCAATTACCATAGGAAATATATTGTAATATCTTAAAAGAATTTACGTTTGTTTCTTTTTCTCATTGAACAAGTTGTGAATATAGAATATAGTATTCTTTTACGATGAAAAGAGTTGAAAGAAGTTGTCGTGCCATTTTAAGCACTATCAAAATATTACTGCTCAAAATACCGTCTAAATTGTACGATTTAAATGGGAAAAAATCCAGTGAACCAAATCAATTCAGTCGTGGTTTGATTGGATCTTTAATTAACATGTAGCAAATTACTTCAATTTCTAAATAGATATTTCGGTTTCATTCAATTTTGGTCAGCGATTAGTTTTTGAAAATCCATTTCAATCTCGGTTGAATATTTTCTTAGGCTAATTTGTTGGTCCAGGGTTGATTTCTTTTAACCAAAAACTAACCTATATCAACCACCCAACTGTTCTACCTTTTAGAAGATGCACTTAATTATTGTTTATAATCTGATTTATAACCATTTAATTTTTAATTATATTCTAAAACGTTTTCAAAATCTAAAAACTACAAAAGGAGAACTCCATAAAGTAGAAACAGAAACAAAAGCACTTCCTCCGCCTATAAATTAAACATTCTCAGATCCAGATGTTTCTACAGTCACATGACAAAGAACCGTTACACTGTAGTAAGATAGATATCAAAACTACTCTAAAAGCAAAGAGCCTATTGCATATTATTTTTTTTTTGTTATTTATTTTTATTTTATTCTAAACA